AAATTCAAATTCATTTGAGAGATATGATTATAATGGTGAGTAAAGGTCAATAACGTTTTTCTGATGTACTGAAAGCTTCATTAGCCAACTTTGAAAAAACATATTTATTTTATATAAAATCTATTTTGAATGAAATAAGTTCTTAAAAAAGATGTACAAGTCTATTTTCAAATGAAAGAAGTTTCATACCAAATGGGTTTGTAAATAAAGAGATATAGAAAGAATATTGATTAAAGGTCAAAACTAAATATTTTCACAACTCTTGATTCAAAATATAAATGTTAATGGCATAATTGGAATCAAGCTAAAACCTTTTCAAAACCCAAGATAGAATCAAGAAAGGATTTAAGATAAATTAAATATTTATCCTCATAATGAATTTAAGCTTCAAGTAAGATGACAAAAGTGAATAGGATGTCAGAGATTAAGTATATAAACTAATTACCCTTATTAAGCATAATTTAAAATTTTTGCAAAAACAAAATCTTCACTATTTTGTAATTATCAAAAACAGGGTTCAACAGGACCTATAATTGGTACACCTCTTATCCTATTTATAAGTCATTTCTATTAATCTTATCAATACCAATGCAAAAAAAAACTAAAGGATAAAAGTTTGTAAAATTTTAAATATGTTCTAATATAACGAGTCTAAAAAGTGATGTTATGTTACTTTTTTATCTCTCATGAAAGGTAATTTTAAAAATACCTTTTAAATATTACCTAAAAAGTCACACCATAACTTATAAATGAGACGAAATAGATTTTTTAAAATATAACTTATAAATGAAATTAAGAGAACTGTAACATTCTACTTTAATTTTTAGAGTTAATTAGAATTAATGAAAAAGTAGAAAGAATGTTTGAAGATAAATAAATTAAGTAGGAGTTTTGTTTAACTTAGGATATAATTTTATGTTAAGTTTTGCTTTCAATAATGATAAGTGATAATATATATATATATATATATGAAATAAAGAGAAGACTTAACGGGGAAGTATATTGAAATTAGAGAGAGAGAGAGAGAGAATAAGATGAGGCGGTGGAATTGAGGCCAATATATATAATATTGGCTTTGCTCTCTCATCTCATTCACGCACAAGACAAGAGAGAAAGAGAGAAAGATAGAGAGGAGGAGAAGAAAGGAGAAGGATAAGGGCTTGAAGGCTTTTAAAGTAAGATTTTATGCTCAAAACTATTTTTATTCTCAAATTTTTTTTATAAATATTTTCCTATTCATCCAAAGCTTTCTAATAATAATAAAATTTTGATGAGTAAAGCAAATTTTAAAGTTTAAACTTAAAGTAAGTATTGACTTTTAACAACGAAAACTATTAATTAATAAAGATAAATTAGTCCTTAAATTTCATCGATTTAGATTTGTTCTATAAACTGATTTGAGAGTTTAAAATTAATTTTTTAGCTATAAAATTTGTGATCTCTGATGTATAGGATATCTATATGGATTAAATTATATTTTGAGATTTAGATAAGTTAATTTTGGATTTTTACCGGAGGGATTTAGATTGAAAGGATATGATTGTAAATTTAAAATTTAGTTAAATTTTATATTTAATTGATAAATTATAATATATATATATATATATCTAATGATATTTATATCATTCGATATCGTAGATTAATCTATTATCGTGGTTAAGAAGTTTCCTACACGTCTGAGTTAGTTAAAGCTTGAAAAAGAGATAACATTGGAATATCCTTTCATATATTGAGATACTGATTTTTATTATTATGTATATATATATATTAATACTTGTGTGATCTTATTGTGAAATGTGACATTGGTTTTATGTGATGCAAAAGGGGTAATAAAGATGGCTAGTAATATGATTATTTGTTTGAGATTGATGATTGAATATTATGCCGCATGGTTTGCCTCTACTACTCGTGTAATAGTTGGCCTTTTTCTTGTAGTTCCTAATGCCTTTGACATTTTGGGACAATGGATACCTTCTTTTTAAGGAGGGGATTCTATTTTGATGACAATGTACCTTTAATCGGGTATAACCTCAGTTTAGGCTCCAGCTAGCGGTAACAAGGGAATTGGGAGCTATAAGGATGAGATTGGAAAATGTATCACTGTTGTTTTAATTTGACATTGATTTAGAAATTATTATAAAATTGTGAATATTGCATTTCTTGTTTTGTGTATTGATTATGAAATGCATATGCATATCTCTGGATATGTTTACGAACTATTTCAAGAAGTATGTTAGTATATGTTAGAATAACCAACTGTTACTGAGATTTTTAATTTCATATGTTACTTCTTATCATTTTAGGTGAGCAGTCAAGTGGAGCCACAGGAAAGGCACTAAAGAAGGGAGCCTCTCGGCTTGACACGTGATTTTTTATTTATTTTGTAATTATAATTGTCATAATCTAGAGACCCTTATAAATTTTATTTTGGATAATTGTTATAGGTTATTTGACTATAACTACTCAATTTTTTTGTCTAAGTTGGATAACTTTTAAACACGTCAATCTGAACCATGATTTTCTATTGGACTAAGCCCATTTATTTTGGATTGTATATATTAATGGTATAAGAAAAATGTGTGTTTAGCATAGTTGATTATATTTATAAACTGTTGTTGAATCCTGGACTTGCTGCAAATTATTTATTGAGCCCCATCTGCCCTAAGTCCATTGGTGATTTTTAATCTTGATGTCACTTTATTTGGACAGATATATTTTTAAGAAAAATATTTATTTATAAAAATAAAGGAAGGAGGTTTTCTTTTGTAAAAAAAAAACGGTAAAAATTAGATTCGTTACAAGAACATACAAAATCATGTGATTTTATAAGGGAAAACTAATTTTTGGATTATACGGTACCATTGAGTTTTGATTTTGATTCCAAAATTTTGAATTTTTTAAACAACACCCTAATTTTTCAGTCGCTTACACTGTTCATCCTAATCTTTTCCATCTTTTATCACACGGACTGACAACTAGCCAAGGATGCATCTACCTTGGGCATAGAGGGGCCAATTGCCCCCACTAAAAACAAAAAAATTTACCTAAGCTTTAGTTAAAACTATACTTACTCCCTTTTAAAGTTATAATTACTTCCATAAAAAATTAATTACCTCACACTTTCTTTAAAATTATCAAGCATACATATTTAAAAATATTGTTGACTCTTATATTTATTATAAAAATAAATTTTTGATACAAATGACTTTAATATATATTTTTAAAATTATCATATATTTTATTTATATATTATTTTTATTAATATTTAAAATTATATTTTCTTCAAAAGAAATTAATATTTATATTTAGTATAAATTTTGCCCCCTCTCATAATTTTTTCTGGTCCGTCACGGCAACTATCATGAGTGCATAACCTCCGTTAAATTGTTGGCGGAAGAACACGTGTGTGTACCGACTATGTCAGTGGCTTCGCACACTAGTCCCAAGAGAGAGCTCTCTTCTGTTGAGGCAAAATCATGCAATGATGTGGAAAGACAGGGTAATGTAAGAGTCAACAAATATGATTTGTTGGCAAAGGAAGAAGAATTTATCTTTTCATACTGTTCAATTTCTATCAAAACCTTATCATCTTCCTGTTAGTCACATACTATATATATATATATATATATATATAGGTTAACAAATATATTTGCTTTACCTGTCTTTCGCGTCTCAAAAACAGAGCTATATATACATTTAAATGGCCAAAATCTTAATGAAAGAAAGTTGCATCAAGCTAGTGGCATAAAAGTCCATTGCTTTCTCTTCAATGCGCATAAATATAACTATATATATACTTCTTTTATTAAAAAATATAAAATATTTTTAATTAAATCTTACTCTCCAATAAAATAATTATCTATTTTTAAATTAATTCTATTTTTTTATATTTATCTTTATTAAACACCCTACAATAAATATAAAGTCATTATCAATAGGATACTTTTAAAAAAAAGGAAATGATTATATCTCGAAAGATTAAAAATGTCTTACTTTTTTTAACATTTAACTACTCAAAAAATACCTTATATTTTTTAACGGAGGGAGTATAATAATAATAATAAGCAAGCACAACATTTTGCTCATATATTCATGCACGCATTACCTTTTGCCACCTACAATTGATCAGGTCCCACGTTATAAATTTTTATTTCTTCTTTGTCTTCAAGCTTTCTTATTTATAATTATACATATATCTCCTCAGTGATTGCGAATGGTAGACCGTCGTGTTTTTTGAAACCAGGGTTAGCGTGCAAGATCCTCGTGACTAAACTAACAGTAGAGTTAACGCCCATGGGGTTTTCTTAAACTTATGCGTCTTACACTTACGCGCCTCATCCGTTTCTGTTTGGCCACGTAAGCTAAAATTAACACCATTTAAGGGCTGATACTGTGTTTGAAGGCATGAGGACCAACAGAGCTAAACCAGACAAAGTATGGGGAGTTGCTTAAACAAATGCAAAGTTCAAGTATCTATTTCAAAGTGAGGTGAAATGTGTTAATTTTCCAATTTCAAAATACATTGGCTAAATTAGCATTCATTGGGTATATGCTCTCTTGGAAAACTAAGATTGCAATTTCGTCAAATAGCTGCTCAATTTGTATCTTATTATTTCGGTAGCCTCGATGTGTCTGAGTTGTGGCGTGCTTGGCTAAAAACCAGAGAGAATTTCATCTATGATCATTGAAATAATTTGTACCTAAAGAACTTTATATATGACTTGAATAATTCCAGTAACAATTACCTAATTAAAATTCTTAACTTCGGTGAAACAAATTCACAACTACTCTTCTAAAATTCACACCATCATAACTTGCTTTTTTAAATTTACTAGTCATGTCCGAAACAAGGAAAAGATGATTTTGTTTGTGTCAATTTAACAATTCCATGAACAATCCCAATTACATACACTCTCGAGGAACGATCTTCGAACAAAACATTTTTCTATCAAGTCTAGACATTAAACTGATTAGTCATCCAAATTATTGCAAGCAGAAACTGATCAGTCAACAAGCCATGATACTCTTCCCGAGCACAATTTATTTAGACAAATTTGTAAGCCATGACCATGTTTATATTCACGAAGATGGATGCAAAACTATGCCTCCTAGTCCTACATCAACCAATACCTACGAATTTCTCATAATCGTATAAATAAGTACGACAAACAGTAGTATAATTTCTGAGAGAAAAGACACAAGATCAAAACAGCAAAGAAGCAAACACAGCTTAGATTTCATGTTATAAGTGGCTGAAGTCTTCATCTTCCATTTGGCTCAGCAAGCCTGGTTCTGCATCCCATCTGCTCAAGAAACTTGCTCAGCTTCGAGTGCTTAGCAGCCCATTGCTCAGCCAACTTCTGCTCCTTGGTTTCTGCATCTCTTCTCAGTCCAGCTAGCTGCTCCCGGTATTCAGCCTCAATTCTATCCAAAGCCGCTTTCTCTTCTTCCCGGAGAGCTTTAATCTTCACTTCAATCTCTTCCATCTTCTCCCGCCTCCGACATGCCTTCTCTGACTCCAACTGCAACTCCACCCGCCTTAACCTCCACGCTGCTTCCTTCCTATGGGATGACAATGCCCTGTGCCCTTCTTCCAACTCTTTACAGCACTCAATTAACTCAGGTACTAGCATGTTATCACCAAAAGCTGGATTAGATCCGTGAGGTGTTACATTCCCTATAACAAGAGAAGAATTCTCTGGCGCTCTCTCAGGTTGTAACCATTGAAAAGGAGGTGCAGCTACAGTTGAGTTAGAGAGACTTAGCGTCACAGAAGGGGAAGGTGGCCGAATGGTTGTAGAGTTATTTGAGTTTGAAAGCCATGGAGGAAGCATAACTGACGTAGGAGCTGGTGCATCAGTGTGAATAAAAGCTCCATTGGAAGCAGCCATAAGGTAGGATGGAGAAGGGCGTTCTTTCACCAGCTTCTCAGCAAAAGTCTCAAGTATATGATCGTACTTAGTGTTGTCAATTGGGTCAACTGCTTTATTGATCTCCTTTTTTTCCCTCTGCTGTTTCTCTTTAAATACTTCCCACCACTTACCTAACCTCTTAGCAGTGCGACCCGGGACTTCTGCAGCAATTTTCTTCCATTTGTTGCCGTGTTTTGCCTGAAGTCGGATGACAAGTCGTTGTTCTTCTTCAGTGAGAGATCCCTTCTTGATGCCAGGCTTGAGGTAGTTCTTCCACCTTTCTAAGCAGGATTTGGCATCCCTATTAAGGGGCGTGTTCATGCGCTGAGACACAAGATTCCATTCCCTTGGACCATACTGTTTGACATAAGCACGTAATAATGCGTCCTCCTCAGCTCTCCAACGTTGCCTCTCCTTCATTTCCAAGTGCAAATCCCACTGTCCATTTCTTCAAACTTGAACTCCTCATCATGTATCTACAAAATTCAACACACTGAATCTAAAGACACGAAGAAACAATCTAACCAAAACAAAGAAGACAGGCATAATAGCCTTGCCTGTCCAATTAAATAATTCACTCGTGTTATAATGCAGCAATATAAATCATGTGTTGAAACATGCAGTGCCTCTCACAGGGCCAAAAAATCAGATAATTCAATTTTGAAGATGCTACAAGGCCTGTGCAATGATAATTCAATAAAGCACCAAAGAAAATACAAATCATGCATGCAAACTAAGCAGAGAGAAAATGCAGACAATAAAAACAGAAAGACAACACACAGACAAGGAATCAATAGCAATTCAATTCCATCAGCCCTATGTGTCAGTCATTATCGAAAATCCAGCATATGATATGCTATTCTGCCACGAGCCCATGAGCAGATTTTTAAAAACTCGCTAGAGATCCTATGCATTTCTTAGCCCCGAAAAAAATTGACATTCCATCACAGAGTGAGAATGCACACGTCATGAGGAACTCAAATACTTGATTTTTAGACTCACTTGCCCTTGTTCTCTGTGCCTTTTATATTCAATTTCTTTGCAAAATGGGAAGGTTCTAAATTGTTGGAAAACAAATTATATTAACGGTACCCTCCCAATTCTCTCAAAGCAGACAAAAAGGGTAGCCTATAACAATCGAGTAATTTCTTGAAATAATTGACATCCCTGGTCTCCTAAAGAATAGGAAGCTCGAAGCAATCAAAAGTTAATCAGTTCCCCAAAACTATTATTGTTAATTAATGAATACTAATTAATAAATTATTTATTTATTAACAATTAATTATTCATTATAAATATTAAGAATTAAGTGGAGCAACAAATTTTGTGTCTAAATAATTATTAGTTTTCCCCCATTTTAGAACAAAGAAGAAAACAAATATGAGCGCATAAACTCAAAAATTCCATAGAACAAAACAAAAATGCAATCACATAATAGCAAAGACGAAGTTGTTATAATATAATTATTATAGGATTAGAGCACAACTTGTTGCAATTATTTGGAGTGTAATAAAATTTGACAACATGCTCTTCAAAACCGAATGGTGAATTTTCTTTTGTTGTTCCTGCATTGATAATTCAAATCCAAATTAAGTGATAACACAAGCCACATCTATATCCATAATCTATAATAGTACATTAAAAAAAAAACTTACGGGTGCATGTGCAGGGGAGATTACTTTTCACCACAAATATATTAACCCCCTAGACTATACTGCAGAGGACTGCTTCGACAGGTACAATCATCGCAACAAAAGTAAACATTAAAATACACAAAATGTAAAATTTGAGCATCACATATAAATTTGAAAAGTAAACGCACCATACACGTCAAGATACAACTTCGCCGAAAAAGACAGTCTTCTGATATCACCAAAAAAATAGATGAAGTTAAATTTAATTTTTCTCTTCCTGCATAGATAATAACTTTCCATAACTTCAACAATACGGGAAAAGATAATGAATCATAAAAACTCGAAAGTTCAACGGGAGGTTCCCCCTGGCATTGGAGAAAAGCAAGTAAATGACGGTCTCAAGAAACTCAAGACATCGACGATAAATTGTACTACCACCACCACCAACAACAACAACAACAATTTTTTTCTTCAAAAAAAAGAGAGAGATTCAGACTCAAAAAAAAAAGACAGTCCAAGAGTAATGAGCACGTACAATACAATATCTTTGATGAATATGAATAGTTATAAGTTTCAATGACAGATGACGAACAGGCGCAAGAATCAGCACCACCAGCTCAAATCAAGTAACAAAGAGATTCAGACTCAAAACATCATATTCAGAATAAGCAAAGTATTCCCGCATCAATGGCATGCAGATACAAAGAAAAAAGTGTTAAAAATCATGAGTGGCTTCGAACTCAGGGAATCCAAGGAACATTTCAAAGTACGACCGAGACAATAGCACTTAAACCAAAACAAAATACTAATATAAACCACCAAAGCATTCTAAGAGCGTTCAGAAAGATACACGCACTAGTCAGGTATACGCTACTAGGAGACCGACTGCACTGACTTCACTAGCAAATTTATATGACCCAAACCTTTACAAACACAACAAAAATATACAAAGAACAAGTCCTGGAAAAAAATATCAGCTTCAGTCTAAGATTTTAGATTAAAGTAATGGAGTGGAGCAGCAAATAAATGTTGCTGGTTGCTATCCACCCTCCAAGAAGGCTGAAAACAAAGAAGATAAGAAAACACAGACATTTTTTTTTTGTGTATTTTAAGTACCACCATATATTGGTCCTAGATGGCAAAGATTCTTCAATCTTTACAGCAACCAAAAGTCGAAACAAACCTTAGTTGCTCAAAAACAGAAAAGAAAAAGCAGGAGTCCGAAAATCTTAATTACACTCACTCTCTAACAACTTGGCAACAACTCGGTTCGTCTCCGACGCATCTCCCGCTCGACGAAACAGAGAGCAGCTTGGTTCTTAAAAAGGGGGGGAAATTGCAAGCAGAGAACCACCTCAAATCAGTCCTAGAGAGAGAAATATTCGCAGCTATGAAGAAAAGACAGGGAGAGCGCGGGGGAAAAAAGGATGGACCATAGAGAGAGAAACTAGGGAATGGGTAGGATTAGACCATACTAGACGAAAGGGCAAAAGAGATCTGACAGCGGGCGAAAAAGAAGGGCACGCGAATTGGAATTAGAACTGGAACGCAAAGATAAATAAAATAGAGAAGCAATAACTATAAATAAATCAATGAGAAGAGGCGAAGCAGACGAACGGTGTTGGCTTACGTCGTTGGGGGAATTTGCTAGCGTAAGCTTCGCTCGCATCGCACTCTTTTCCTCCTCACCTCCTCCCTTTGATCTCCAGCAACAGTTACTTTCCAAGTTACTGTGCAATTATACTATGCATTGCTGGCCCGCAAGGTAGAGGAAATTCGAGCCCCGAAAACGAAAGGCGTTTGGGTGCAAATTGCGAAGTGGTTCAGAGATTAGGGTGGCAGACAGTTTGCAGAACTTGTGAGAGAGGGAGGGAGAGGGAAAGCATTAATGCGGCAGAGACGTACGTCGGTTTCAGCGCTAAAAAAGCGACACTCTCCTTCATCGCGCGGCTTCTAGTGACAATAAATGGCTGACGTCAGGTTTTTTCCCCGTTCAGATGAGACAGCGCAAAGGAACTAGGCTGGTTGGTGTTGCGCCGGGAGCCCGGAAAGAGACAAATCATCATCGCCATAATCGATTGCTCGTAAGACAACCATTTCAATATCAATGCAGCCAAAGCACACCATTGGGAGACATTTTATAAATTAAACATACTTAAAAACGACATACTTTTCCACACTGATACGGGAGGGAGTAATAAATTAATGTAAGATGTGCCGAGTTTAGGGGGGGGAAAAAAAAAGGAAGCAATAATCTGAGAGATAGAAGAAGGACCGGCGTGGGGATGATGATTGTGGAGCAGGGAGGAGGGGACTGGAGTCCGCGTTTGGCGGTAGAAGAGGACGAGGAGGGAGGGGGTTGATAGAGACGCGGCCTCGCTGCTGCATCAGTGGCAGGGTTCAGTGAAACGTAACATCATTCTTTTGTCCTCTCTCCCTCTCTTTTACTGTTCTCCTGCCAGTCCCCGACCCTCTCTCTTCTTTTACTTTTCCTCCGGCCCGCTCACAACCATCTCAAGATTCCAAGCCAAAAAAAACAAACAATACAAACTTCTATTTTATTTATATAAATTTGACTTTCAATTGACAAAAATTGATTAACGAAGTATGAGATATTTTTTTTATAAATATAAAATATTTTTAATTAAATTTTAACTTTAATAAAATAATTATTTATTTTTAAATTAATTTTATTTTTTATATTTATTTATATTAAACACCCTATAATAAATATAAAGTCATTATTAATAAGAACACTTTAAAAAAAAGAGATAACAATTATATCTCAAAAGACTAAAAATATCTTATATTTTTAAATATTTTACTTCTCAAAAAATACCTTATATTTTTTTAACAGAGAAAGTATAAATTATTCAAAATCATATCCCTCATTAAATCTATTAAAATACTGATTTAAAATTTAGTAATTAAAATCACAATCATAGCTTAGACAGATCATGAATAAATCACTTGTTAAATAAATGAAAAATTAATCATTTGACCTTTAAAATTTTAACTTAGTTATAACTTAATTCCTAAATTTTAACTTATTATAATTCAATTTTTATAATTTTGACTTGACTATAACTCAATCACTCAACTTTAATTCTTGCAACCCAATTCCTATAGTTTTTTATCATTTAAAATATTATTTTCTATAATTTAAAAATAAAATTATAAAGATTAATATTATGTTAAAATTTAGGAATAATATTTTAAATTACTAAACCCTTTTAATCTTTATAATTTTATTTTTTAATTATAAAAAATATTTAAATAGTTAAAAATATAGGGATTGATTTGCGAGAGTTAAAATTGGGTCACAATTAAATTAAAATTATAAAATTGAGTTATAATAAATTATAATTTAGAGATTACTTAAATTAAAATTATAGAAATTAAATGACTGATTTTTCCTTAAATAAATTAAGATACTAGTTCAATCAGCGGATCAACTTGAATTCCGATACAAATCTTCTCAAAATTCAGAGTAAACCATTTTTTTTGTTTCATTTGTAATTCATGTTTTTCTTTATCTATAAAAGATAGAGATTTACTTTTTTCATTGGTCTGTGTAACTGCTTTTTTTATATTAATAAAATCGAATTGTTTTTCTTAAAAAAGATTAACTTTTTATTAATAAGTTTTAGAAGATGAAAAATTAAATTATCCTTTCTTTTGGCCGCAGATAGCTAAATTATCATTTCCCCTTCCCCCCCCCTTTTTTCCGTGAGAATAAATTATACAGTTAAGATTTAAATTATGTACTATTTTGGTGTTAAAAAGCTTGCAAGGAATATACTAGTCAATTTTTATTCCGTCAAATTTATGGCTGGGGAAAAAGAAAATGCAATTTTAACAAGGGAATCTTGTAGATTTAAAAAAAAAAGAAAAACGCAGTTCCCAGGAATGGCATTGACAAAGAATTAAGTGAGGCGGGTTGATAAAGGAGATGGAGAAAAATATAAAAGGAGGGGTAAAAAGGAGAGTGATTTGACAGATCAACGAAATTGTAGAAATTGAGGGACATCTCTCAGCAGATCCCACTTTTACTGCTGCCCGCCTCCTTAACGTGGCTCCTACCACCTCACGGCTCGCAATACGGAACTAATGATAGATCAACGGTGGATGTTATATGCTACAGTGACAATGACTAGACTTGCCAGTGCACGAGAGTGTATTCTAGAAGATTTTCAAAAACAAACCGCAATGCCACCGCATAGGGATCCATGACAAAGGGTTAAAATATCTTCAATCCTCCGTTTCAGATATTGCCGGCCAATTGCAAGTTTCGGCACTTGGGTGTGAGAGGCTATGTTTAAATTCATCACTTCAACTAAACTTATAGATGAAAATTAAAGCGGAGTTAGAAATTGGATTACATTTTATCAAAACATTGTAGAAAAATTAGTGTGATGGTCCGTGGTCTTATAAAAAACGAAGGAACCTCACTTGATACGGGCTGTCTGCATTGATATGAATGGAATCAAGTTTTTAACAATGGGTCCGAAGGAAAATTGTTGGAGCTGTGGTTGACGAGAAAATTATGAGTGGTCTCGATTCTCTTTCCGTGTGCCGTGAAATACCTGGTCCAACCCGGACCCATCTCCCGTGCTAAAATTATATGAACAATGTATATAACACATGACATGTGGTTTATGAATTCATGACGATTCCCTAATTTGATTGAAGTGATGCCTATGATTACATATCTGTCATGTGAATTTTAGTCACATCACTCACGTTATTGTTGTTTATTCTTCATGGTTCATACAAGAATAAAGAATTAGATATTTAGATTTTACGCTGCCTAAATCAACAACTTCTTTCGTTGAACGACTCCGCTTCTCTTGATTAATGTTACGTCTTCTTTACCAGCTCTTCTCGTAATTTTTTTGCATGTTCAAGACTTCAAACCATCGCAACTACTTACTCCTTACATTAAAAAATATAAAATATTTTTAATTAAATTTTATTTTTTAATAAAATAATTATTTATTTTTTAATTAATTTTATCTTTTTTATATTTATTTTTATTAAATACCCTATAATAAATATAAAATTATTATCAACACTTTAAAAAAAAGTAATGATCATACCTCGAAAGGTTAAAAATATTTTTTAACATCCAACTCTTTAAAAAATATTTTACATTTTTAAATAAAGAGAATACTCTTTATCTTTTTTTTAATAGGCATCATATCCTTTTTTTCCTGCGACCATATCCATTCTTTCTATTATCCACTTTATTTACATATTATTATTTATATAATTTATTATAAATTTTATATTTCATTACACAAGTGTCCCATACATTTCTCATAGTTAAAAGGAGGAGTCCTACAATTTCAAACTTTGAAGGAAAAACATTGTTTAAGAACCATTGAGGAGATTTAATAACAATCAGGAATTAAGAAATTTTGAAACGTCACTATAAAATTTAGGAGGCTAAAATGAAATTAAAAATAATGGTGAAAAGATAAAATCACCAGTTACATATTTTATTTTTCAAAAAAAAAAAAACCACTATCACAAGCTGCCAAAGTTCTAACCACTAATAGAGTTTAGGTGATAATTAATTCAAATTAATTTTTTAAGATGGCTAAGGGAATTTGATCTCTTGACCCTTTGACCACTTAAAAAGCATGGTTTTTCCGTGGCTAAGGACAATATATATATATATATATAGCATGTGCGTGCGTGCATGCATGTCGTAACTCAAGCTTTTAAACCATTTTCATGTTACAACATAATGATGTGTTATTAATTTTTAAATGACACTTGTTATCTATCAATGTTACTTGTTAATCTAATATGATAAATTAGAATTTGGAAGCTTTAAAAATTCATGTCTTTTTCAAGTTCTTATTTGTTAATTGACATTTAAATGTCATTAAAATAACATGTTCATATAGCTAATAAATTAAGTTTCAAATTAATTGTTTCTTATAATATAATGGTGTATTGTTAATTCCAAATTTAGTTTTACTATCTTGTTAAAGTTTGAATTGAATATTGTTAATCACAAATGAGCTATTGCCAAAATCTAAATGATATTTGTTAATTTCTAAATAGTACTAGTTGTTTCACTAATGTTACTTCTGTTGTTACTTGTTTATCACAAATAGGTTATTTTCAAAATGTGAATGACTTATAGTTGTTGAATAGGGCGTTTTCATGCTTGATTATTAGATTATTGTCTGTTTTAGATGTTTTATCTAACTACTTGTAATTGTTTGTTGGTTGAATATGTCCAAGTATGGAGGACAAAATTCCTACAAGAGAGAAGAGTTATAACATCTCAAAAATTTAATCTACAAGTTAAATTCATTAATTGAGGAGTTTAATTAGTTAATTGTGATAACTAAAAGTTAATTATATAGTTAGGATGGCCATTTGACTCTATTGAACCCTGTATGAAGTTTAAATTTAGGTTTAAGGAGTTATTAGGTTGTCTTGGCTCAAATTATAGGTTTAAGTGAGAGTATATGAACTATGCCATCTACCATGGCAAACGCAAAGAATTTTAAAATTCACATAAAGCTATTTGGCCAAAAACAAAAAGAAATTTTGAGGGAGAGTTGGAGAGAGAAGTCAAAAGTTCTGCTAAGGTTTGCATTTGGTGTTGATTGGAGGCTATCCAGGGCAATTAAGACTTTAGGTAAGCTTCCTTTTTCCTTCTCCTCTCTTCTTCTTAGGTTTTTTTTGCGCATCTTGGGGTTGTTGGGCTAAGTTCCCAATTTATGGCTAAGTTCTAGCTATTCTTTTAACTTCAATATGGTCTATGGGTGTTATTAACTGCTCTTAATCTTGAGTTTTGGTTGTTAATAGCATTTAATGCTATTAATGAGTGATTTAAAATTAATCCTAATGCTAAGTAAGCTACTATGGTTCACTATCAACAATAATCGCGCTTAATTATGGTATTATGCCTTAATTGTTATTAAGAGTTAATTAATGACAATTAGTCATTAATTCTTATTATTGGCAATTGATTATAGAGTATTATTTTTTGAAACTTATGTTGGTGAGACGCTCCCTCAGAAACCTAAACAATACTCTTAAGGTGGTAGCCTAAGAGTTGAGGTAATTGAAAGTTTATTTTTAGTACATAATTATGTTTGCTAATTATAATTCTCCATTGTTAACGATGGCATGAAATAAGTGAAGAAAGTATTATATGATTTGGTCTCCTTATTGGTAGTTATATAAGTTTTGAAACTTGTATCTTTGTAGTGAAGTTATGTATGATGGGAGAATGTGTTGTAT